TCGAGGGGAGGTGCTAGCTTAGTGGGCTGGCACCTGGTAGAGCTGGTCCAGCATGAGATTGAATGTAAGTTCCAAAGCCAGCCAGATCGATTGGGGAGCTTTAGTTCCGGAGCAAACGGCCGGTTCGGCCGCTCGAGTGGAGGTGCTAGCTTAGTGGGCGTGGCACCTGGTAGAGCTGGTCCAGCATGGCGCGCGCCGAGGGCCCGCCCTGGCGCTGCTTGAGCGCGCGCTGCCGGCTGAGGAAGGAGGAGCGCTGCACGCGCAGCAGGTCCTTGGCGCGCCGCACCGAGTCGCGCTCCAGGTGGATGCGGTGACGAAAGAACTCCAGCTCCGAGCTCCCGAACTGACCTGCCCACACACCAACAGCACACACACACACACATAGCACTACACAGTAAGAACAACAACACACGAAAAAAAGAGCAGTTGCGATGTCATTGATCTGGTATACCGCAATTGTTCATTTTTCGTGAATAATAATAATAATATGAATAATCACGAAAAATGAACAATTGCAGTATACCAGATCTATGATACCGATAATTATTTACGATAATTATTATTATTATTATTATTATTATTATTATTATTATTATTATTATAATTCCGAGCGAAGCGCGCTGGATTCGCAATCGGGAGGTCCGAGTTCGATCCCTGATCCGACCATCCAGACAGTTTTTTTTCGTGGTTTCCCTGACACATTAGAGCAATGCTGGGATTGGTCCATAAATCCTACGAACACCTCCCACTACCCCAACAACCACCATCGTCCTAGTCCTTTCACCCCTAATCATCATTGTATCATTTCATTCCATTAATAGAAAAAAATAACAATTAAAAAATCTCCCAATTTACATATTTTGACTGTTTTTTATATCTTGCTTAATTTTTTCTGATCAAATATATTAATTTCTTTGGTAATCAGAAACAATTTACATATTTCTGGAGTGTTTCTAAGCTTCTGCAATATAAGTTGTGCCAAGAAAGCATTTTTGCACACCAACTTTTGAGTGCTTATTGCGGCTTAGCCATTCGGAATATTCAAGTAGTTTATTAGACAAAATATGCTTAAAATTGTTTTAAGATCTTATTTGCGAAGTTTCGGCGTTTCCTCTCTGAACATCCTGTATATAAAAATGTTATATTAGTTTGTGTATACTCAAAACGTTCTGCATCGATCGAGCTCAAATTTTGACACGTATACACCCACAAAGGTGTTTTTTTTAACTTTAGAATATTATGCAGAATTTTATGCCGGAAAATAAAACTAAATATAAATGTCAAATGCAACCCGCAACACACTCGGTAGGCGTTTTTTACTCTATATCGTTAAATAACTCCTACACGAAGCGTCCTAGGGCATTAAACACTAACATTTTAGGCCAAAACGCCTCAGGATGAGATCTTTTTGAACATTTTATTACATTTTTGCTGAGCGGTGTAGGAAGGGAAGGGGAGGGGAAGGGAGGGGAGGGGGAGAATGCCTTCGTCATCTGCTAATGGAGGGGGCGTACCTGTGTCGGAGAAGGGGTAGCGCAGGTAGGTGTCTGTGTGCGTGGTGACGGGGAACTGGTCCTCCAAGTCCTCCA